GTATCTTTAGTAGAGATGGGGTTTCGACATATTGGCCAGGCTGGTCTCGAACTCCTGAGATCTGCCCGCTTTGGCCTCCCAAAATGCCGGGATTACAGGCGTGAGCCACCATGTCGGCTGTGTTTTTTTTTTTCAGTAGCGATGGGGTTTCATCATGTGGAGCAGGCTGCCCTCAAACTCCTGACCTCAGGTGATCCACCCGCCTCAGCCTCTCAAAGTGCTGGGATTACAGGCGTGATCCACTATGTCCGGCCCACCTTTCTCTCTTGAACTTCAACTTCCTCCATGCCCCACACCATCTGGTCCTCTGCAGGTAGCTCAAAACTCCTTGTATAGGCTATGTGTGGTGGCTCACACCTATCCCAGCACTTTAGGAGGCTGAGGTGGGAGGATCGCTTAAACCCAGGGGTTCAAGACCAGCCTGGGTAACATGGCCAGACACTATCTTTACAAAAAATTTAAAAATTGGTCGGGTGCGGTGGCTCATGCCTGTAATCCCAGCACTTTGGGAGGTCGAGGCAGGCAAATCATGAGGTCAGGAGTTCAAGACCAGCCTGACCAATATGGTGAAACCCCATCTCTACTAAAAATACAAAAATTAGCCAGGCGTGGTGGTACACGCCTATAATCCCAGCTACTTGGGAGGCCGAGGAAGTAGAATCGCTTGAACCTGGGAGGCAGAGGTTGCAGTGAGCCGAGATCGTGCCACTTCTTTAGTAGAGATGGGGTTTCGACATATTGGCCAGGCTGGTCTCGAACTCCTGAGATCTGCCCGCTTCGGCCTCCCAAAATGCCGGGATTACAGGCGTGAGCCACCATGTCGGCTGTGTTTTTTTTTTTTTTCAGTAGCGATGGGGTTTCATCATGTGGAGCAGGCTGCCCTCAAACTCCTAACCTCAGGTGATCCACCCGCCTCAGCCTCTCAAAGTGCTGGGATTACAGGCGTGATCCACTATGTCCGGCCCACCTTTCTCTCTTGAACTTCAACTTCCTCCATGCCCCACACCACCTGGACCCCAATGCCCTCATCCACCACTGCCTTTGCTGCATTCCGCATTTCTTCTCTCCCCAAACTCACTTTCAACCCTGACCAAACTCCACCCACACTTCTGCCCTGACACCTCCCCAGCCACATGCCAAGTCCCTCCCTGGCCTCTCCTCCAATTCCCTGCCATCCAGAGGGCAGAAGCAGGCAGGTCACCCCAGAGCAGCTGTGTCTTTGCAGATATCATGGTGACAGAGTACGTGGAGCACGGACCCCTGGACGTGTGGCTGCGGAGGGAGCGGGGCCATGTGCCCATGGCTTGGAAGATGGTGGTGGCCCAGCAGCTAGCCAGCGCCCTCAGCTACCTGGTGTGTGGCCTGTGTCAGTCAGGGAGGGCCAGGAGCCCAGGAGATCGAGACCCGCCTGGGCAACAGGGCGAGACCCCGTCTTTTTTTTTTTTTTTAGATGGAGTTTCACCCTGTCGCCCAGGCTAGAGTTCAATGGCATGATCTCGGCTTACTGCAACCTTTGCCTCCCGAGTTCAGATGATTCTCCCACCTCAGCCTCCGGAGTAGCTGGGATTACAGGTGCCTACCACCATGCCCAGCTAATTTTTATATTTTTAGTAGAGATGGGGTTTCACCATGTTGGTCAGGCTGGTCTCGAACTTCTGACCTCGTGATCCACCCGCCTCAGCCTCCCAAAGTGCTGGGATTCTAGGTGTGAGCCACCACGCCCAGCTGGCCCCGTCTTTAAAAAATAAACAAATAGCCAGGCGTGGTGGCTCACACCTGTAATCCCAGCAGTTTGGGAGGCCAAGGCAGGTGGATCACCTGGGGTCAGTTTGAGACCAGCCTGGCCAATATGGTGAAACCTTGCCTCTGCTAAAAATACAAAAAAAAATTAGCCAATGTGAGGCCGGGTGCGGTGGCTCATGCCTGTAATCCCAGCACTTTGGGAGGTCGAGGCAGGCAAATCATGAGGTCAGGAGTTCAAGACCAGCCTGACCAATATGGTGAAACCCCATCTCTACTAAAAATACAAAAATTAGCCAGGCGTGGTGGTACACGCCTATAATCCCAGCTACTTGGGAGGCCGAGGAAGTAGAATCGCTTGAACCTGGGAGGCAGAGGTTGCAGTGAGCCGAGATCGTGCCACTGCACTTCAGCCTGGGTGACAGAGTGAGACTCTGTCTCAAAAAAAAAAAAAAAAAAATTAGCCAATGTGGTAACTTGCACCTGTAGGCCCAGGGACTCAGGAAGCTGAGGTGGGAGGATCACCTGGGCCCAGGAATTTGGGGCCATAGTAAGCTATGATCACGCCACTGTACCCCAGCCTGGACAGCAGCATAGCTAGACCCCATCTCTACCAAAAATTTAAGAATGAGCCAGCCGTCGTGGTGTGCACCTGTAATTCTAGCTACTTGGAATACTTGAGCCCTGGAGTTTGAGGCTGCAGTGAGCTATGTTCGTGCCACTGTACTCCAGCCTGAGAGACAGAATGAGCCCCTGTCGCAAAAAAAACAAAAGAAAAAAAATAACCCCCTCAAAAAACAAAACAAAAAGAAACCCAGTGATGGTCACAGTTGTCCTTTTCACATTGACTGTCCCTATGGGGTCCAGGTTTGGGGTTGGCATCTGTGCCCCTCCTGAGTGGCCACACCCCCTCTCCTGCCCACCTCAGGAGAACAAGAACCTGGTACATGGTAATGTGTGTGGCCGGAACATCCTGCTGGCTCGGCTGGGGCTGGCAGAGGGCACGAGCCCCTTCATCAAGCTGAGTGATCCCGGCGTGGGCCTCGGCGCCCTCTCCAGGGAAGGTGAGTACCCGAGGGGACCTGGGCACAGTCGGGGGCTTCCCCTGCTCCTTTCACCCTTGATGACCTCTGACCTTGGCCTCCCAGAGCGGGTGGAGCGGATCCCCTGGATGGCCCCCGAATGCCTCCCGGGTGGGCCCAACAGCCTGAGCATTGCCATGGACAAGTGGGGGTTTGGTGCCACCCTTCTGGAGATCTGCTTTGATGGAGAGACCCCGCTGCAGAGCCGCAGCTCCTCCGAGGTATGTCTAGGAGACCCTTGAGCTCTCCCCACGATGGGGACCTCTCCAAGGAATCCAGAGGACAGAATCAGAGCTCAAAGCTGCCTCCCCTCTGGTCTCGTGACTTCAAGTCTGTCTAGGCCACCAGCAGGGGTCCACTCGTTGGGGCTCAATGTAGTCCTAGCCTTTTTAGGTCCTTGTGGAAGTCACTTGTGCCTGGTACACACAAGGCAAATAAGAGACTTGATTTCAGTTTTAGGCAGAGTGACCAGGGCAGTGATGGGAGAGGCCCAGGCTGCGGAGTGGGGAAGAGGGGTGGAGGATGTGCCTCACTCAGCAGCGGGGTCAGACAAGGCTTCCCAGAGGAAGTTTGTGAGTGACGGTTTTTTTTTTTTTAAGACGAAGTTTCGCCTTGTTGCCCAGGCTGGAATGCAGTGGCATGATTTCGGCTTACTGCAACCTTCGCCTTCCAGGTTCAAGTGATTCTGTCTCAGCCTCCCAAGTAGAGGGGATTATAGGCACATGCCACCACGCCTGGCTAATTTTTGTGTTTTGTGTAGAGACAGGGTTTCAGCATATTGGTCAGGCTGGTCTTGAACTCCTGACCTCAGGTGATCTGCCCGCCTTGGCCTCCCAAAGTGCTGGGATTACAGGCATGAGCCATAGTGCCTGGTCCCAGAAAAGGTTTTATCTAAGTGTAGAATTATGCCAACAAGTCCGGCTAAGAAGGGCAGCCTAGGCAGAGTGCATGGCCTGTGCAAAGGCTGAGGCTTCAGTGTATTGAGGAGCTGTGGTCTATAGGAGGGGCGGGAGGGGACCTCCGGGCTGGAGGCTGACTGTGACACTCCAGCCCTGCATAATCACTGGACCTGGGTCCCAAGCTTGGCTCTGCGGCTGTGAGCACGTCCTCCCACTTTGTGGAGCCTCAGTTGCCTCATCTGTATAATGGGACTGATAAGAGTGGGCACCTGGCGGTCCACTGTGGGGGCTTGACTCTGCCTCTTGGGGAAGGGGTGGGGGCGAGGGGAGGATGTTGACTCCTGTGAGTCCCTTCCCCAACAGAAGGAGCATTTCTACCAGAGGCAGCACCGGCTGCCCGAGCCCTCCTGCCCAGAGCTGGCCACACTCACCAGCCAGTGTCTGACCTATGAGCCAACCCAGAGGCCTTCATTCCGCACCATCCTGCGTGACCTCACCCGGCTGCAGCCCCACAGTGAGCTCCATCCCAGTGCTGGGACCCTGGGGAAGTGGGACGGGGCTGGGATCCCTGCTGTATGCCTACAGCACACGAGAGGTGTCTGCAAAGTGGTTCAGGGTGTGTGCCAATTTCTTGCAGTGGCGTTCATAAGCATGCCCTGCCTGGCTGCCCTGAGCTCTCCTTTATTTATTATTAATTAATTAATTTATTTATTTATTTATTTTGCGATGGAATCTTGCTCTGTCACCCAGCCTGGAGCACAGTGACGCGATCTTGGCTCACTGCAACCTCCACCTCCTGGGTTCAAGCAATCCTCCCACCTCAGCCTCCCAAGTAGCTAGGATTACAAGCACGTGCCACTTTGCCCGGCTAATTTTTGTATTTTTAGTACAGGTGGGGTTTTGCCATGTTGGCCAGGCTGGTCTCAAACTCTAGACCTCAAATGATCTATCCGCCTCAGCCTCCCAAATTGCTGGGATTACAGGCATGAGCCACTGTGCCTGGCCTCCTTAATGTTTTGTCTGGGCAGAAGCACA